AACTTTTTCAACAATCAACATCTTCAACAATCAACATCTCTTGAAAAACTTTATCGATAAACTATTTATTTCTTGCGAATCAACTTTTTCAACAATCAACATCTTCAACAATCAACATCTTCAACAATCAACACGTTCAACATCTTGAACTTCTTTTGAAAAACATAAGCTGCTTCGCCGCGTCCGACCACAGGTCGATCAGTAAACTATTTCTTTCTTGTGAATCAACATCTTCAACCTTCAACATTCTATTGATCGATTAATAACAAATTCGTCAACATCTTCATTTTAAACATTTTTATTCAACACCTTTATTCAACATCTTTATTCAACATCTTCATTCAACATCTTTATTCAAAATCTAGCCGCTTTGCGGCGTGCCTGCAGGGCACCCTACCAAAGGTAGGACATTCAACATTCAATTTATTTATCGAATAATAACTAAATCTTCAACATAACATAAATACAAAATCACTATATCCCACACTGCACTGGAAGGATTCTCTGAATGGCCCCAATAGGTAGAAGTGTCTGTCGTGCTCCCTTGTTTGGCTAACAACCATTTAGAAACACTTGCAGTGACAAGGTTTTAACGTTGGAACGCGACAACCCTGCTCCTTCCTAAGAAGGCCATCAATAATTCCGGGATCGAACCTGTGACCTGACAGTTACTCAGCTTTCTGACCTTCCGTGTCAGCCGACTGCACTATTGCTTCTTGTTTTCTTTTTGACCACTTTCAAAAATAACACGTTATCAAGGGTCAGCTATGATACAACAAACTTCTATTCACTAAACCACTAAATACAAAAAAATGGCGAACGAACACCCGAGCAAAAATTGTGCTTGCAGTAAAACCCTAACACCCACTCTGACTCTTGCCCAATCCGCCAACTGACGATAAACTATTGATAAACTATTTATTCTGGAATTCAAGAACTTAATCAACATTCAACATCTTAAAAATCTTTTCAAAAGCTGCGTCGAATAGTTTTCATATTATTCTTTATCGATAAATCACATTGCATAATTTAAAATTTATAACCGACTCTTCGAACACATCTCCCACATTTTAACAGTATATCACAATCCCTTCTCTCCTTGATTTCAAACATTTCAAACGATTTGGAGCTGATATACACTGCCTTTCCAGACAAAAATTGGGATTATACTTATCTGAGCGAGAATCCCAACATTACGATGGAATTTGTCAAAGCCAACCCAGACAAGCCTTGCAATTATGATTACCTGAGCGGGAATCTCAACATTACTATAGAATTTGTCAAAGCCAATCCAGACAAGCAATGGTGGGATTGGGATTGGAATAAGTTGAGTCAAAATTCGAACATAACAATGGAAATAGCTCATGCGAATCCAGACGGAGAATGGAAATGGGCACATTCGAGTCGAAAACCGAACATTACCATGGACGTTCTGATTGCGAATCCAGACACGCAATGGAATCATCCAATTTTGAGTTATAATTCGATCATTACCATGGACTACGTCAATGCCAATCCAGAAAAGCCATGGGATTGGCGATATTTGAGTTGGAATCGGAACATGACGATGGAGATTGTAAATGCGAATCCAGATGAGCCATGGAATTTTTACTATTTGAGTATGAATCTGAACACAACCATGGACTTTGTCAATGCGAATCCAGATAAGCCATGGGATTATACCAGCTTGAGTCGTAATCCAAATCTTACTTACGAATTCGTCATTGCCAATGCAGACAAGCCATAGGACTTCAGTGCTTTGAGTAGGAATCATTTTCACCACGGGAAGAACTGCTTGCCTGTCATTTCCACAAGGCAGCGATTGTGTTGAATGAGTTGAATCATGTTTTTGATATGCCTCCCAATTGCGATTCGTGACCCATTTTAAAAAGGGGGGGTTTTGGTTTTTGAGAAGGGTGTTTGACTGTTGCCAAGTTGTTTGACCAACATTTTGTTGGGAAAGTGTCATTGTCATGAATGGAATAAGTGAACAATGTACAAAATAATAAAAACATATTTAAAGATTGATGTATATTATGAAATTAACAATCAAACAAAATATGACTTTCAACAACTAAACAAATATGGAAGGAAACCCGTATGTAATTTATAGAGCAAAATTCCTAACCGTCGAGACAGAACAAACCCTTACGCCTACTCAGATCCACCAAAAAGTCGAAAACCAAGACAGAAAGAAATCTTGAATTTGTTTGCAACTAATACAAACATCTTTAACTTTACAAAAGTTATTGGCGCTTTTAACATAATGTTGAAAGCGATGCGAGCTAGCGCCCTGTTAATACCAGCAGGAACTGGACAAGTCAATACGGCAGAGCCCTTCAATGGAGCGTTTTCTAGTTTGGTCTTATTGCATTTTGTAATCAAGGTCATTCAACGATACGTAACTTAAATTGTGTATTGTACGTAACAGTAACTGAGAGGATCACCCTTATGTTTCGACGAAAGCCTCAAAGGCAAAATCTGCCAAAGACTTTCTATAAATTACTACCGGACAAGGAACAATTTGAACAACTTGTTTAGGTATCAACTGTCATGATTTTTTATCAATAATATTTTTAGTTGTGATTCATTTGTCTATATTTTTGATATATATGTTTTTGTCAAGATTATCTGATGATGATGATAATGATATATATAATGATGAGGATGATGTTTCTGATGATGTTTCTTCTGATGATTTTTATCGTGGATCGCCTTGTGGGTCTCGAGGAATGTTTCATTATTCGAATGCCATTGCTGACCATCAGTGGTCTGAAGATGGGCTGTATGGTGGTTACAATGATTTGGAGACTTACAGGGATGCAAATGGGCTAGAATAGGTCAAGTTGAAAGTCAATGAAAAAAATGTTTTATCGATAACAAATGTTTTATTTTTTTCAGACGCATTGGAAAAAAAGATCTTGTCAATCAAAAACTTTTCCGAAGTGAATAAAAAAAAACTAGTGCTACTTGTCGGATTCAGACTATAATCTAAAGTGATTCAAAGTCCATTCTACAATCAGATCTTTGAATTGCATCCTTATCGATAAGCAGTTGGTCTTCTTGTAAGACAATGTCATTAATTTCCCGCCCATTTGTCAACCACCAACATCAACTTGTCTATATGTTTATATATATTTTGCGGAAAAAACTAAAAACGGTGCAAGAATGGTTCAGAGCAAAGATTTCATTCATTTGTTTATTTTGATCGTGTATGGAATCTGTGTGACTTTCAAATGATGTCATAGAGAAGAAATCAAGCCATAGACACGAAGACTACACAAATTTTCACTTGTTCTGTAATATAATCAAACGTGTTGAAGAAATATGTTTGTTCCAAATTGATTCTGTTTCTTCTTCTTAAAAGTTCGAACAATAAATGATTTGAAATTGTCAATATGCACTTTTGGTATTGCAAAAGAAACAGTTTGGTGAATGTGTCAGCGTTTCCTGTTCATGAGAGTTGCATCGACCAATGCACCAAGAAAATGAGTCTATCGCACTTAAAATGCCATAACCGCCCCCGAACTCTTCCCAATCAGTCCATCTATTCCATAGCAGAATCCCAACATCCAAACATGTCCCATTCGTACCCTTCTTGATGGCCACTCTTCGAAGGCTCGTCTTATCCTTTTTCGACCTGGAAGGCAAAGATGCAGCAGGATCTCAAGGCAGATGATTTGTGGTGGGGTGTCGTCGTCCCCGAATCCCACGATGTCTGCCCCATCAGGACTTTCGCTGATTTCAATAGCTACTACGCTTCACTATCTGCTCTTCCACCTTACTCTCCACCCTATTCCAGCTTGACGACAGACCGCGAGAAGCTCACACGCGCACCCGCTCTTATGGTGGACACTCTCTTGCCATCTGTGTTCCGCCAGTTCGAAAAAGTCGACTCCCCATGCGCTTTATGGGACAAGCTTATCGAACGTTTCGAGGTTTCATTCACCAAAAAATTCACGTTGACTCCTTTCGAGCAGCTGCAAGATCATCATGAGGAAGTTTTTTTCGGCTTATTTAAAGTGACCTGTTTCTTACTTCTCTTCGCATGTATTCTGGACTATGTCTTTACTTTATCGGCATGACATTTTTAATAAACTGCACACTCTGGGGTTCCAACCCACACATCTTTTGATACTGGATCTTGAGTCCAGCGTTAGACCCCTCCGCCAAGTGTGCTCCGATATGACCACAGTACATGTAGATTGGAAGTCAGAATGATGGAAAAATATTCTATCTATCAATCGATAAAATGGATGGAAAAATTCACACACAATTCATCATCATCTTCGAGAATTATGATGCTGTTTTTCAACAGTATCAACAAATGAAATTGAAAAAAATCCCACACAATTCACGATTATCAAAATGAATCATGAACATCTTGTTCAAATCTTGATATGTTTTTTCCAACTGTATCCATCATCTTCAACATTCTCTTTATGGAGAAATAATAAAAATTTTAACATCTTCAACATCAACATTTTGTCAATCGAGAAATAACAAAATCTCCAAGATCTTCCACATTCTGTTTATCGAAAAAAAAAAATTCAACATCTTCATTTAACATCAACATTCTGTTTATCGAGAAATAACAAAATCCGCAGCATCTTCAACATTCTCTTTTTGAAGAAATAAAAAAATATTGACATCAACATCTTCCAAATTTTTGTTCCAAATTTTTGTTCAAGACAACTTTTGAACAAGTTAAGTTCTGTAAATAAGATTCACATCAACACAAAGAGAAGATGTCAAAGATGGTTTCGAGCAACAAAAAACGACGCTCAACGAATGCTTCAAAAACACTGCGAAAACTGGTTGTGGAAGCCAATTTGCAAAGACGGAACATGTGGAATCAATGTCCACATTGGATGGGAAAAATGTCATGACTCCAAACGTCGGTTTCTGAATATTTTGTAAACAAATGATCACCCGGAAACCTATAATCTGAAAATTTTACAATGAAGATTGTTCATTTCCAGCTATAAATCAATACATTTGCAAACGTCGTTTCGCAATTTGAACATGATTTTTCATATCAATTTATCGATAGATACAGGTTCAAACGTCAACAAAACGTCATGTCAAAATTCGAGCACGATGTTGTGTGTTTCTTCTGAAGAGTTCCAAGCCGGACATGCAGTTTGATATTCTCCTGATGAAGGTCGATATTGTCTTGTTCAAGAGTTGATATGACTTTCCAGATGTCGTCCATACGTTTGGATTTGTTGTTGTTTTGGGTGTGGACGGTTTTGCAAAGGTCGTCAATACTCGCAGAGTTGACGTTGAGTCTAGAATAGACCATATCGAAGCAGCTCTTGCACGACTGGTGCCAAGCTTTATCCATGTGATGGGTTTTGGTGTTAGTGTGGGTGTGAACGTTTTTGCAGAGGTTGTCGTTGCGTGTAGAGTTTACATTAAGTTTAGAATCGACCAGATCGGAGCGGCGCTTGCACGACTGGTGGCGTTGTTCGTCGATGGGATCTGTTATAATAAATTGTTCTTCCATGTTGTCGAGTTGCTCTTATATGTCGTCCTCTACCGATATAGGGAGGGTGGAAATGTGGTGGTCGTCAGGGCGGATTTTTCTGTGGAATGGGTTTTGAAGAGGTCGTCCGATTGCTTGTGCACAGACAGAGTCTTGCAGAGGTCGTCGATTTGGGAAGAGTTGACCTTGACATTAGAATCGACGAGATCAAAGGGGTGCTTGTAAGACTGTAGGCGAACAATCATTGGTGGGTTCGATTTTGTCATTAGAATCGACGAGATCAAAGCGGCGCTTGTGAGACTGGTGGCAACCATTGTCGGCGGGTTCTATTTTGTCATTAGAATCGACGAGTTAGGTTAGGTTTGCGCGACTGGCGGCGAACATCATCGGTGGTTTCGATTTTGATGGCCTGATTTTCCATGTTGTCGACGACTTGTCTTGAGGTAAAAGCGAGGGTTTTGCACATGGCGGGGTTTTATTAAGGTTAAAAATTGTAATATTCGATCAGCTACTTTACATCACCTACATCGCCAAGCCACTTCTATGCATTTTCTATTATGATGATAAATAATTTGAGCGCTGACATTTATTTTCCATCATCAATATATCTTAATGTCTCATCTTTCACTTATCGATAAAAACCTTGGCGATGAGCATGGGATAAGCGTGCTCCATTCGTTCACCATTCCCCCTGCCTATAGCTCAGTATCTTCAATTCCCTTGGAGATTTTGAAAAATAATGAAAGACCATAAGAGATAGATTTTATCTCCTTTTACCGTTTATTTGTATTTCGTGAAGAAAAGTATTCTACTGACCAACCCCAACCCTTAGCGGAACTTCCGCTTCGGTATTTAGAAATAATTCGAGTCGGTTAAGTGGGTAACCAGTTGGTTACTTGTATGAAAAGAAAAAGGAATAGAAAATTTTTATGTATCGATAGAGAATCGACATAATTTGACCTATTAGGCAATCAAAGAAAAATTCAATTTTTCATTTTTCATTTTTCATTGTTGATTAAATTCCAGACAAAATTGTGCTTTCAAAGACATTAGTTAATGCATTGATTCATGGAAACCAGAGCCACCTTTCTTGAAAATGGGCCGTGAATGGCAGTTAGGTGGCGTATCAAAAACGTGATGTAACTTGTTCAACAAAAACCGCTTCTGATAGCAAAGTATTGGTAAGCAACCTTTGTCATGATGGAAGCGATTCTGAGACAAATAACAGTAATTCCATTGTTTACCTAAATGGGAATTAAAAAATTCCAGAGTAATATTCGGATTCCTGCTCAAAGAAGAATATTCCCATGGATTGTCTGGGTTTCCCTGAACTGTCTCCAAAGTAACATTCGGATTCGCGCTCAAAGTGTAATAAATCCAAGATTTGTAAGGGTTCGCATTAATTATATCCATAGTAATGTTCGGATTCTCACTCAAATATTCATAATTCCACGGCTTGTCACACTGGTAGTGGGAACCTGTGCAGCGACATGGATTTGCATTGACAATATCCATCGTAATATTTGCATTTGAACTCAAGAACTTGTAATTCCATGGTATATCTGGATTCTGTTTGACAATTTCCATGTCAATATTCTTATTCATGCTCAAAGTACTATAATTCCATTTCTTTGTCTAGATTTTCCTTGACTAATCCAATTGTAAGATTCTCATTTTCCCTAAAAAAGGAAAAATTCCATGGGATATGCGGATTGGCTTTGACCATTTCCTTCGTGATATTGGAATTTGAAGACAACCAGTCATATCCCCAATTCTCCCAATAGTTTGCATTAATCAATTCAATAGTCATATTTGGATTCACACTGAAATGCCAATAATTCCACGGCTTATCTGGATTAGCTTTGATAATTTCCATCGTAACGTTTGGATTCGAACTCAAAGTATCATAATCCCATGGCTTTCCTGGATTATTCATGACGATTCCCATGGTAATATTTGGATTCATCCAAAGCTACATAATCCCATGGCTTGCCAGAATGCGCATTGACAAACTCCATAGTAATGTTTGGGTTCATGCTCAATGAAAAAAAATCCCATGGCTCTTCTGGATTTGCATTGAATATTAGTTGCAATTGATTCGTCATGCTTAGGTATGATTGGCTGCAGGTAATTTACGTTCGGATGTACTTTGGGTTCACAGGTATGAAAGAACGTCTTTGCATTTTATTTGTTCCCATCTACAAATAAGTTATTCATCAATAATACTGGTGAACTTAACAAATAAAAAAAAAGCTTATCGGTAAACAAAACAAAGGAAACAAAGTTTATCGATAAACAAAACAAAAAAAACTTCAAACAATATACAAAGTAAAAAACAATAGTCATGATTTAGTTTGAATAAATTGATTATCTGCCTACACATCTTCTAAATAAGGAATTTTTGAAGATTTTGCGATTCCAGGGATTTAACCCTGTAATGGTAAAAAAGGTAAAATTGCGAATATTTTGAATGCTGAAGACATGAGCAAAGTATACTGTCCCAGAAATGTTTTATCGCTAAACAGGATGTTGATTCGAGCAACACAGAAAGTGAGGGAGATATCCGTCCAATCGCAAGGAGTCGAAATGTTTATTGATAAACATTTAGTTTGTTTGTGGTGGCATGTCTGCATTTTCCTTGACAATGTCCATCGTTATGTTGGGATTCATACACAAACCTGAAAAATGCCATGGGTTGTTTGGATTCTCGTTGACAATATCAATTGTGATATTGGGATTTGCACTCAAAAATAAAATAATCCCATGGCTTGACTGAATATGATTTAACAACATCCATCGTGATACTAGAACTCCAACTCAAAATTTGATAATTCCATGGTTTGTCTGGATTCGCGTTGACCATTTCATACGCAATGCTGGGATTTCCACTCAAACATTCGTAATTCCATGGTTTGTCTGGATTCGCTTTGACCATTTCCATAGTTATGTTCGGATTCTTACTCAGCTGGTGATAATTCCATGGCTTGTCAGGATTTGCATTGTAAAGTAACTCCAATTGATTCGGCATGGTTTATTGAAGATTGGATGATTGATGATAGGTCGTGATGGAAACAGGACTGCAAGGCATGGTTGATTGACAATAGGTAGTAATAGGATAAGGATTGGAAGCCGTTACTAAGTAGCAGGGGTGAGTTTTATTGATAAAATTCATGTTGATTTTGGATATTGAAAATTTGTGCAAAATACACAGTCCCAAAAAAAACTTATCGATAAAGAAAAAATCACAACCAAATTGATTCACCATCAAACACTATGTCTGCCTGTCCGTGTAGCTGTATATGTAGTTCTTTGAATGACCAGAAAGGATTCGAATGGAATCGAATACGTTCATCATATTTCTAAATTGATTCATCATATTTCTACTTTGATTGATCATGAATTGCATTTTCCCGACTTTCTTGTTACTTCCTCAGACCGTCTTCAAGTTGTGCTGTGCTCGTTATTACCATGTATCTATATATTGTTTAGCTGGGCCTGATGAAAGACTCCAACGCAAATACCCTTCTGCCACCTGACCGAAACAACTAGACGTCATTAGACATATTTTGAAATCTGATTGGCAGCGGTTGGTGACTGGGATCAGGGGTGACCGGGGATCAGACTCGGCCGTCGGTTCGGGGGTCGTAGGGGTCAATCGGGTCAGGGTTGGTGGGCTTCGGTGACCCTGGAC